CTTTTATTGACTGAAATGGTTGAAAAATTTAAAATAAAGCCTGTAAGATTCAATTATAAAGTTGAAAAAGATAAAAAATTATAAAAAAATAACAAAAAACCATAAAAATCATAAAAAATACTGTATAATAGAATCGATACGCTCTTTACCGATTTCCGAATCGAACAGAAGCTCGTCAAGTTTTCAAATCCTGAACCAAACAATCATAGCCGACCGGAAGTGCTCTCTTCAATCTTATCGGTGAAAAAGAATCAATTTCTCTCTCTAAAAACAACTTTGTTTCTCCCTCTAGCCATGCCGACCTGGCGGAAATATTCCTGGCCCTAACCGGGGCGACCGCATGAGATGTGACACTTTGTTGAGGCTTTCTATAACTTTTCCTTAAAAAAGGTAACAGCTGAAGCGACGGATCCCGTGACACTATTTTATTTTAATGCTTTTAAGTTTTAACACAGGAAATGTCACGCACAATACCAACTTCTCCTCAACCCTAACTTATATATCTCCTTATTTCTTGTAGACATTTCTATTTGGATAATCACTTTCTCTCTCTAAAAAGACAAAATTGCCCTTAGTTACTTTTGAGGGGTCCCAACGCTTACTTGTCATCTCGAACGATCATTTGATTGTTTATTTGTCAAATGTTGTGTGCTCCCACGGGAGCATATCTTGTGTTCACTGCTAAAGAGACCGTCGGCGTTTTCCGGGGCGACTTTGGAAAGGGCGCAGTTTCTGCAAGACTTGGGCCTTATGAAAAATATAAAGCCCCCCTTTGAAATCTCATCGGGAAAATATTTTGGACGGAGAAAATCTATGTGATGGCTCTAAAATCAATTTTCACAATTGATTATGAAATTTGTTGTACAAAAATGGTACAAATCTTGCAAATTCGTGAACACTTGAAAATGAGCAGTCTAGATAATATATATATTATTTTTAGGTCTTGAAATCTTTTTTTTTTTTTACAGCCACAATGGTCAAAATCGAGATGATCGATTGGAAAGTTTTTCGCCTCCAGAACTACATTGTTTTTTGTAAGTTTTGAGGTGAGGCTTTATTTATTTTGATGAGGGTTGACCTATCAAAACAATTTTCTTTTGGGAATGAAGCTTTATCAGCCGCGTGACCAATCTTGAACATGATAAGCAATTTTATGTTATTGGAAAAATAATGTTCTAAGATTGGTTAGAAATGATCTTACTTTTGGATGGCTAGATATAAGTATTTTTTTTTTTTAAAAGTCGATCTATTTTTAAGTAAAAATGCTAATATAGTAATTATAAGATTGATTCCAAAATTTTAAATTAGAATAATCATTGTAACGAGGTGTTTTGTTCCTACAAGAATAATACTTCCTAAGGGAGCAAGTATATAGTGTGCTCTTGCAGGAATAGACCAGACGGGTTTTCATTATAAATTTGATTTTTAACAATGTTTGGCTTCTAAGAAATAAGAAGGATTAATAAAAATCCATGGATGTAACGCGAATCTCTCCATGGTATAATAAGAGATATACTCTCAACTTGATTCTATGGATACAATACTCACGACAAGGCATTGAGGAGTCATAATATAAGGCCTAAATTTATATTGTAAAGGGAAAAAAAAATAAAAATTTGTAATTTAAAGGGTCTTGTTATTATTTATTGCTTGTGTCTAATTATTGGGACTCGGTAATATCCTACCTCAAGCAAGAACATATGATTATTTAGCCTGAATATATAAAAAGCAAATGCAGGTACGTTCAGACATGGTTGCAAGTAGTGAAGACTTATCGAGTATGTCCTTTTATAAAGTAGATTGGTATAGCCAGGCCCAATTAGTTGAAAAACAAATTTAAGATGACGACATAAAATGCATTGCACCACTATTTTTTGGTGTTTGGAAGGCCTTCCTTTTCTCTAAGTATGCTAAGAATAGAATATCATATGGTGGGAAATTTTGGAGAATATTTTTGCAAAACCCTTTGACAAAGCACAAAGGGTAAAAATAATAAAGAACATGAACAATAATCCTAGCCTCTCATACCTTTACGTTTTGACCATTAAGCCTAGAGGTTGTGCCCCAAGTGAGGGTCATATTTTTTGGCACTTAATTCAAGGTGGCAATATAGTATATAGCTGTTATTTTCCATACACGTTTAGAAGCTTTTCAGAATTTGAAAATAGTAAGTAGTAAAAAAGGACCCATGTGTAAATAATATAATGTGTTTTTAGAGAAAATCTTTCTTTCTTTAGGAATTGTTTAGTATAAACTATACTTAAAAGGGTGAGCCTGGGAATGCACGCAAATGTTTTATTGAGGTATTTGTCCCCATGAAATATGTGAGGCCACAGCCTAAGTAAAGAATGGGAAAAATATCCTTATTCTATTGTTCTTTGACATAGAACATGCATCAACCCTAAGGCTCACAGCACTTTGGTCTTGGGTTCTAAGCCAAGCTCAATCATCCAAAAATATTTAAAATAAAAAGAAAAAAATTAAATATTTATTACAAATAGTTAGGGTTTTCTATTTATGCTTCTGGATCCTCCCGCCAAGTGCTGGTTCCATACAGAAAATAAATTATTTGAGTATGGTTCAGAACTGAAGAAAGCCATGTGTCATACCGCACTAATCACGCGAAAAATTTATTAAATTAGTAAGTAATCGGGATTAGAAGGCACCATGACAGATAAAATAATAACAATAATAAAGGATACTCTTTTATCGCATATAAAAACTATCCAGTATACCCCTCAAAAAAAAAGGAACAATGCATAAGGATACCTATAGTGACTACAATTGGTGCTACGAAGAAAAATTCATGTTTTGGGGTTTTCAAAAAAGAAAAGTATACCTTACACGATCGATATATCTTAGTCCCCAATAATGGATGGTGGAGATTAACCATAATTCTAAACTTGTATTATGATGAGAACCATCAATCTCCAATGTTGATTATGAAAACAAAAAGTGGATGTCATTTGTGTACTATGCAGGTGTAAACCGAGGTATTTCCCTTCTCTTAAAAGACAAGTATGTTTTAGCCTGTATTACAGGAAAATGATCCCCATCCAAACTTTGAAAACCAAAAAAACCTAATTTTTTTAAATTTTTTTTCCAACGGTAATGTAAATAAGGAGGGCTCTTTCGAAATATCACGGGAAATCCGCATCCGATTAGACAAAACTTTCTAGCCTCCATACCAAACAGGTACATGCTTGAAACTTCCTAGAAAACTCGAGGTCATAATAGTAATTGTACTCACTGCACTCCTTTATCCTATAATAAACTACGAATAAAAAAGTCTTAAAAAGTCTTTGGGCAAAAGAGCTTCTGACTCTTACCGGCTTTAACCGGTAAAGGCGGTGGAAAAACGCTACGTGGCAGCCCATAGTTCTACATGGCTAACCCAAAGCTTTTAGCCGGTTACCAAACAAAAATAAATAGAAAAGTTCATCGAGTAAATAAAATGTCTATTAAAATTTCGAGTCGCCAGATCAGAAATATCTCCCCTCTCTCTCTCTCTCTCTCTCTCTCTACTACGTTACGTTACTCTTCTTCTCCTCCGTCCGTCCTTCCTTCCTTCCTTCCTTCCTTCCTTCTTCTTACTTACTTACTTACTACTACTACTACTACTAC